GTCCATCGGAGAAATTTCTGCCTAATATTAATGAAACCACTGGAGCAATCTCAAAGTCTTTTGTCTTTCCAAGTTTACACTGGAAAAGAGGGCCTAAGCCCGATTGATCGTGAGTCGTCAGCCCCGATGGGAACCCAGAGTCACAGAGGAGGCCGAGAACACTAAGCAAAAAAGTTAATATAATTAAGCTTATCAGTCGCCCATACAACACAGTAGAACTTATTGGTGATGTCAACAAGGAATCCACCCGTTTTAAATAAACTAGGGTATTAACGTTTCCGAGACTGGATATGTGGAGCGACACTGACGCCATGCCATTTGTCAAACGCAACAGACTGAAAACTTAAAGCACAGACTACATACGACGAATGTTTTCTAACAATCAAAAGTGTACCAGAAAGAATCAGAGAGACTGTCCGCAATACAAACGAAGAAAGTAAAACTGGAAAGTAAACAAATATTCCGCAAACACCCAGAAATATCACTACACACAGTATTGCGGCAACAGAATATAACGTCATTCAGGCCGACTCATATATCCAAGGTTCATAATATCACAGGAAGATGCCACAAGAACGCAAGCCTTGTGGGGCAGAGGCTGTTGTAGCAAATAAACGAAATTTGTGAGATCAGTTCAAAACGTACGTACGGGCAGACAGATTGGACCAATATTGGACTGTGCGCAAAGGGGCTATGTATTCGGAGGCTACAGTCACTTTTGGTTGAACTTTCAAACTTATAGGTTACAGGCAAATTAAAGACGTATCCGGGACCTCACAAAGCGCTTGCAGTAGAGAAGATTTCGGATCTAATTTAATTTCTTCAAAAAATGAGAGCCAACTGCGGAGATGTTCACATGGGTCGCAACCAAAACCAATTACCAATGGCTGTTCAATAAAGACTGTAGGTCTATCTACATTTACGGCCTCCGCCTTCACTTTTCAGTGTGCATCGGGAATTTTCTGTTCTTGTGATTGAAATTGCTAAAAAATACAGATAAAAACAATTCCTAACTTACTTTGTCGTTTGTTCTGCTTTCGCTATAGTTTGGTATTGCTGGTTTATAAATCACATTGATGTGTCCGAATTCTTTTTAGTCCAGTCAGTACGGCAAGCATTACTGACTAGGAACAGCCTGGGACTTACTGGAATTGCCCAGAGAACTGTTACTTGCCACAGTAACTTTGAACATTAAGGGACATTACTGTTTGTGAGTCTGCACAGAAATAGTTCTTTCCGATTTTTTCACTTTTCTAACTATCATTCGTCGTTCATCAAACACAACATCATCAATATAGAGCAGAGTGTTCATGTTTATATCATTTTTGTAGTTTTCGTTCTTCTCTATAGAACAAGGTTTGAGGTCAGCAAGTAATAGACTTGAAAGCAATAAATCAATGAAGCAGAAAAATAGCCGGTTTCAGAAGGAAAAAGGCGAAATAAGTAGAGATGTTGGCATAAAAGAATGCAATGATTCGCCGTGCGAAGGTGAAATAGGAACCTCTAAAACAGATGAGCGAAACCGATGGGCCAAACAACTGCAATCATTGACATTTAGCGAACAATTTTTACAGATTTCTGCGACATTTCAAATGAACTATGAAGGAGAAAGACGAAACAAGTCAAAAGTAAAATAAAATAAACGATGACGGAAGGCAGTAAACGTGGCCTGTATTCGGTTTAAAGTTTGAATTTCCCTAGTTGTTTTGATTCGTTGATGATCAGTTTTGCCTGACGATACTCCTCGTCCGAATAAGCTGAAAGTAGATTCCGCATTCTCCTCACTTCGCAAGAATTTGCTAATAAAACGGCCGTTGTTTGCGTGTATCACGGTACAGGCGACATCTTCGTCCTCCATTGTCGCTCAGAGGGAGTGTGTTCCTGGAGTTTGACGAAGTAGATGACTCGGTTTACTTAAAATCTCTACCAGGACCAGAAGTTGGGAATAAGTGGGAACAGAAATCTTCTGGCAAACGGTCTTCGAACGCTAATCACTCTTCGCTTCTAATTAGGAGTTTACGTTAAAGTTCGTTCGAAAAATATTTTCGCATACTGTCGTAAATCTAGCCACTTACAAGTCCAAGATAAAACTCGTTAATTAACTGCAGTCCTGCAAAATCATAGGCGGTATGGAAAACACAGACGTCGAAGATCCTTCTTGGCGGGTAGAAAGTCTGGCATAACTAGTGGGGTCCGAAACCACGACCTCTGGGGAGGCACCAGAATTCCTGACCCCTCGGCCATGAACGCACGGCTGGATAGTATGCACTCATGAAATCTATCGATCAGAGGAAATAGCATAAAATATTCGTCGACAGCTGGACTCGAACATGCGAACCTGGCAGTTCGACAGTCGTTGCCGACTATGTCCACCGTGTTCTCCACAACAAGGCGAGGCAGGCACGGTGACTTGCACGTGATTTGTAGTGCGGGTAGACATGCGCTGCATCTAACACACTCTCTACCCCTCACCCACCTGCAGCTGGTGTAAAAACAGAGTCAAGAAGACAGGAGGTGGGGGGATCGCGCAGGTAGATGGCACGGTCGAGCCCGCACCTTGACGCTCCACACCACACCCCCTGATCCATACAAAAAATGACCAGGATTTTAAACAACAGCAATAGGGACTGATGTGGCCGAAGCCGCACCTAACTGTACCGTCACACCTGGCTTGCATCCCATGGAGTGGAAGTGACATAAGGCTACAATAAGAAGGAACCATTGTAGCCCGACATTCAGACCATAAACTGGCAACTCCACACAAACACACACAATACTGGACCGACTGCGAGGTCCAAGTTCTCCCGTCAGTTGGCAACCTTCCAAGCCACGGCTTTTGGCGCACTGTGCTAGCTTCAAGCACGTCAGATTGTTTATACTGAGGAGGAAAATGTGCTGAGTCGTCGACCTCACTCTCACTTCCCATTCCTACACCTCAGCCCCGGTCCGAGCCGGTCAACTGACTGCAGCGGGGAATGGACGCGGTGGCTGGCATGGTCTGATGACCTTGTCTGCGCGCGCCACATGCACGACCTGGTTCCCCCAAACGCAAGCACCAGGATTTCGCGCAAAATGGGTCGAGCGGCGTACATCTTACATGCACGAGAGGGCCGTAGGTCAAGTTTAGAAGGAGTTGTTTCAGCCCGGCTCCCAGACCACCAGTCCGCCACTCCACACAAACACACACATACAACTGGAACAAGCTGCGGCGTCAGTCAGCAGCCTTTCAGGCCGCGGCGCTCGACGCGCCGTGATAGCTTAAAACTCGAGTCACACATGCAGCTGAGGAGCCGCATGGAGACGGACCCGAGACGCACACATCCCGCTTGCGCAGGAGATGACATTTCGCTGCTTGTGGTGGGTGATATTGATGTGCGGTTGGATATTGGTGATGGAGGATGTGATGGTGTGGCGTAGTCGGTGATTGTCTACGGCAGGTTTTCGTGGACGCGCATTTGGCCGAAGAGGTCTATGCGGTGAATGAATGTGCGAGTGCAATGTGAACAGTTTAGGTAAATGCGGGTGGGTGTAGATTGGTGTTCCAGGCACTGGTTCGCTAGATTCTGTGCGATGGATTCGCAAGTGACCGACAAGGCCGATCCGTGAGGTGAATGTGCGAGGAGAGTGTGGACATGAGAAGTCGGCGATGTCAGTATCAGCTGCAGTGATGGTGATGGTGGAAGTCGTGATGACGGACGCGCCGGGCGATAGGTTGTGAGCACGGCTGAGCGTAGTGGGTATGGAGGATGCACTGGGTATGATGGAGCTGGTGGCGGTGGACGTGCTGGGCGGCGGAGTGAGGGCGGGGCTAGACATGGCAGGTGTACTTGATGTGTTAGGTGTGTCGAGATTGTGGTCAGTTCCCCCATCGTGGATACGCTTGTGGCCGAATAGGCTCGTGCGGTGTATGAATGTACGAGTGCAGTGTTGACAGTGGAGGCGGATGAGGCGGGCGCACGTTGGTGCTGCAGGCACTGGTTGGTCAGTCTCTATGCGATGGATTCGCAAGTGACTGACTAGGCTGATATGCGAGGTGGAGGTGCGGTCGCAGTGAGGACAGGTGTAGTCCAGGTCCTCACCACTGGTGTCGACAGTGGTGGTAATGGTGTTTGATGGTGTGTCAGGATTGTGTGTAATGTTGATGTACGTGACGGACTTGGAGTGAGTGGGGAAGGAGGAGGGGGATGGAAGTGGTGGTTGGGAGGGTGGTCAGAATTTGTTGACGGCGTAGAGGACGAGGAAGATGTGGACGGAGGGGCGACGACTGGCGCAGTCCGGACGATGCCGCTGATCCGAAGGTGTCCAACAAGTTCCATTGGTGCCCAGAATGTCCGTTGACACCGTGGACACGCTGGAGGCGGTCGTGCGTTGGCACTGCGAGGTGGGCGCAACTGAGATTTGCGTGCTTCTCGTTTGGCTGTCGCGGCGGCGATGCGGTTGGCTTCAGAGATTCCAGCGCCTGTCATCACTGTCCTTCTCCAGGTCGGTCGGTCTCGGGCTAGGTCTCCCCAGTTAGCTGGATGGATCTGCAGACACTTCAGAGAGGACTTCAAAGTATTCTTGTGCCGACGGATTTGTCCTCCTTGGCGACGGGAAACCGTGACGATGTCTCCACAAAGGCGTCGTTTGGGTAGCCGCTCGTCGCCCATCTGCACGAGGTGGCCGCTCCAACGCAGCTGCAGTTGTCTCAGCATGGCATAGACCCTGAGGATTTCCGTCCGTTCCAGTACATCAGTGTCTGGAATTCGGTCCTGCCACCTCAACTTCAGTATGCGGCGAAAACAACTGAGATGGAAGTGGCTGAGTCGGCGTGCCTGCTTTGTGTAAACCGTTCACGTCTCTGCTCCATACAACAGCGTCGGGAGGATGACGGTCTTGCACATATTCAATTTCGCGCTGAGCTGGGAACCGTTACCACTCCAAACTGTGTATCGAAGACGGCCGAAGGCTTGACTGGCCTTGGATATCCGGCGGGTTACTTCGTCGTCGATTTTCGTGCTTCAGGAAAGGGTACTGCCCAGATACTTTAAGTTGTCCACCACTTGCAGTTGGGTCCCGTTCCCGCTGATTTGCAGCGCATTGTGGGGAGGGGCTGTGTTGGGTGGCGGTTGGTGCATGACCACCGTCTTCTCCATGTTAATGACCAGACCGAAGTTCTTCCAGGCTACGGAGAGGATATCCATGCTCTTTTGCATGTCATCTTCCGAGGTGGTATTGAGCGCGTAGTCGTCGGCGAAGAGTAGTTCGTGAACTGTGCTTGTGGATACGCGCGATTGGAAGTTCATCCGCTGTTGACTGAGCAGGTGACCGTCCGTCCTGTAGGCGATGCGGATCCCGGGACGTTCGTCAGGTTGGGCGTCAATCAGCATGACAGTGAACATAAGACTGAAGAGGGTAGGCGCCAGCACGCATCCCTGCTTCACTCCGTTGGTCACTGCGAATGCCTCCGAGACAGCCCGTTGTTCATAACGCGCGCCATCGTGCCGTCGTTGAACTGACGCACCATCTGAGTGAATCCCTCAGAACAGCCTAATTTCTGCATGATTTTCCACAGTCCATCACCATTCACCGTGTCAAAGGCTTTCGTCAAATCCATGAAGGTAGAGTACAGGTGGGTCATCATTTGCTGACACTTCTCTTGCAGTTGGCGGGCAGCGAAGGTCATGGCCGTGGTCCCACAATGACGGCAGAAACCGCACTGGCTTTCCGGTAGAAGACCTTCTTTCGGGTGGTTATTCGGAAGGTTGAGGAGGATGCGAGCAAAGTTTTTCCCGGCGATATTCAGCAAGGAGATGCGCCAATAATTGTCGCAGAGCTGGCGGTTCCCTTTCCGTTTGCATAGACCCACGATTGTGGCGTCTTTGAAATCCTTCGGGACTTCTCCTTGACGCCACATCCCCGGGAAGAGCACCTTCAGATGATCTATGAGTTGGCGGCCATCACGCTTGTAGATCTTCAGCAGCGATCGCGTCCGGTCCGGGCGCTTTCCTAATGGAGAGCTGCCTCACGGCCGTGATGGTTTCGTGGAGAGAGGACGGGAGGTCGAGGTCGACGTTGGTCTCCACTTGCGGCAGGCGGAAGATGGCGACGTCGGAGATGGTTGAGGGGCGGTTGAGGTCGTGTCGGAAGTGTTCGCCCGACGCTGTAGTGTTTGTGTCTTCTCGGTGAGTAGGGTACTACCGTCGGCGCCGAGAAGCGATGCGGTACATTTGGTTGGCGGACCGTAGCCAGCTTTCATCGCGGAGAAGTAGTTCTTCCATTAGTTGCGGTCCACGTAACCTTGGATCTCCTCGGTCTTGAGAGCCGTCCAGACCTCCCGCACCTCACGGAGTCGCTGTTGTGGGAGGCGGCGACTGCGATAGAAGGTAGGTCAAGGCGCGCAGCTCAATTTCACAGTTAAGTGAAGCTTTGCCTATACTTTGATATTCTTAAGCAATAAATGCCTGTTTTTTTTACTTGAGTCCTTTTAAAAAGTCGCCTTTCGCTACTGGGTATAACTTTTCCCAGTTTTGCTAGACAGTCTGGCAAAGTAGCCGTATTTTGTGGCGTGCCTTTTTAGTGACTCCGTGTCAGGCTATCTCTAGTTTTTGTAGTAAAATAACGGGTTTGACCAAAAATAAGTGTCGCGGATGAAATGGATCACGAAGATAAACCAGCTATTTAGATTCAGTCAGTAGCACTAACAATTTCAAACTTGGGGCAGTCGAAGCATTTAAGTGATTCCTAAAGGAAGTTTATGTGTACCAAATCTTTGTTGAATCAAGGAGGAGAGTCTAAAGGACTCACAACTTGAGGCACAGCTGCTTTTCAAGGGTACTTTCGCCAAGACAAAACTCCTTAAAACGGCCCTTAAGAAGGCATACCATAGCATCCGTTTCCTTTCATCGTATCTGAGGAATTTGCTTGATCGGGGGCGATAGTACGGGCATTTTACTGGGTCGAAAGACAGTTTACTGGCTTTACGGTGCTTTGGGAATACATTCTTTGCTTGCGTCAACATTCTTTCGTCTACATGCAGTGGCATATCCTCAAACAGGCTGTCAGTGCAGATTATTTCTATAACGTGGAGCAGGAGAATCTCGGATGCTCACACACGATTTTCGGTCCCTCAGTGGGGTTTTTTGGAAGTATTCAATGGTTGCGTCGTTGAGGTCCTGGGACTTAGCCCTATTCGCATATCTTCTGTAAGAAATAGGAAAGTTTGTGTTAACATTATTTCTGGAAAAGGTAACCTTGTTTTAGCAAATGTCTGAGAATTATGTTGATATGGCTACTGACTGAATCTAAGTAGCTGGTTTATCTTCGTGATCAATTTTGCCCGCGACTCTTCTTTTTACTCAAACCCTAAAATAACAGTAGTATTTGCTATTCAGTACGTTTTTCTGTACGTAAGCAACGTTTTGTTTCGTGTACTACAACTGAAAACTTATATAGTCAGTAATGTCCCGTAAAGCACGTACATAAGGACGAAAGCTTGCGGCCTCCCCACCGTCTCTGGGTGCTGGAATCGAGACCGGAGACACAGCAGGTGCCAGAATATGTTCGTCGCCTTCTACAGATTTGCTTAACTCAAAAACCCCTTTAATCCAAGTAGTACCTCTTGACCCCTTAATCATCCAAAACTACGTCCCCACTAGTCGTAACAGAACATCAGTCGGCGAAATACTCGATATATGGCGACATAAGCAGCACTTCTGAAAAAGTCATTGAACAGGCGTTTAAAGTTATTGGAGTTATAAGGTCTGAAACTGAGGAGAGAATAAAACGCAAACATAATTTTTTACTGCGAAACATTCCGAGTCACTTATCTGCTGTAGAGGGAGCGCATTTGTTCCTGCAAAGTTGTGGCTTGGCTTTCAGTGTCGCACAAGCTAAGCGACTGCGCTCGCTCAGTCGTAATGCACCAATACTAGTTATCTTTTCCTCCTTGATAGAAGTCGATTTTATCTTGTCGAGGAGGGAGATAATTAGAGAATTCTGTCGTAAATGGCATTGCTCCGTTTCGCCAGACCTCACACCCTTGCAGCGAAGACTGAACAGATTGAAATTGTCAAAAACCAACACCGAGATGATGACACCTATTGTCCGTTTGAATAAGTTTTCTACAACACCATCTGCGACCTCTGCACGTCACGGCATAGTCAATTCCGTAGGGAATTCGACCAATCTTGATGTCGAAATCTTTAAACACACCAACACGCCTGGTAAAACCACGCATCTACCGACTCCCCACCTGCCCATAACAAGCCTAAGCATGTGCCTAAGTCAAAGGCGCATCGAATTGCCGTCTCAGTAACTCGGATACCGAGTAAGTCTAGCTCCAGTCTAAAATCTTATCCTCCACAATCGGCTAACAGTGCCTCAAACACCACGACTCAAAACGTAGCGTATTTCCAACTGCCCCCAGTCCTCATATCGAGGCGGTTAGGCTGAATATGCCGACATTCCCGCCTTTTAATAGAACTCTTGTTCCAATGGATGCAATGCGTCCCCACCCCTTAACAAGTTTCCTTCGCGGCCGTTCTACCAATGCATTCGTCATACTTATGTCCATACTGGGTCAGTTAACTCATCCGATCCTCAGTTTCGTTCCGGCGGGAATACGTTGCAGAATCTGGCCCCTGGATTCCCAGCTGAAAATGAGTTAGCTAACAATCGTTACCAGCTTCCCTGCCCGTCATTTCTTCCTCCAAGTCCTACCCCCTTTTATCCACGTCAGAATTTTCCGATGCCACAAACTTTTTTGCAGAACCGGATGGGTACATCCGGACCGTGTGTTCCGTTGGTAGCAAAGCGCTGGACGACGTAGCCCACCTCCCTCAGAAACAAACAGCCTTTCCCCTCAGACTTTTTGTTCTAAACGCCAGATCTTTGCTCAATAAGATGCCTTTGCTTCAGACTCTTGTGTTTGTCCATCGCCCAGATATTGTTTTAGTAATTGAGACATGGGCATCAGCTTCCGTAGCTGACCCCGAACTCTCTCTTCTAGGCTATACTTGCATCCGAAATGATTGTCAAGACAGCCGTGGTGGGGCAGTTGCGTCTACGTTAAGCAAACACTTACATTTCTGCCGCTGGACCTCCCTCATTTTTCCGCAGTAGAAGGCAGCTGCTGGCTCCAGGTTTCACTAAAAAATAAGTTCTCCTTACTCGTTGGCTGTGTCCATCGCCCGCCCAACGCCAACGACAATTTTGATCGTTTACTCTCACTGGAATTTTATGCTGCAGCCGACCTAAGCTTTAAGCATCAATTGGTTGCGGGCGACTTTAATCTCCCTGAAGTCCACTGGTCTCCGCCTTCAGGCCTCAGAAGGTTCGAAGACTTTCTTGGGGATGTGGATGTTGGGATGTGGACTCTGGTTGTCAACATTCCCACCCGAGGATCAAGCATGCTTGACCTAATTTTCTGTAGAGGCTGCATGCCATCGTCCGTGTCATCCCTAGGCCCACTTGGGGGCTCAGACCATGACATATTTGTTTCAACGTTGGAATTGGAGACTGGCAAAACGTTGTCCCCAAAGTATAATTTTTTCCGCGATTTCCGATCAACTCGCTCAACCGAATTATTAACACACCTCAATTCCTACGACTGGACTGAGTTCTTCCTTAGTTCGGATGTAAATGTTTGCACTGCGAAACTGTACGAAATTTTCTATCCGCTTATTTTTCGTTTTGTCTCCCGTAAGAAAATAATTAATGTTGGAGATGAGGTTTTCCTACCCTTGCCATTTTGTCGCAGATTGCGCAGACTTTCTCGTCGATTCCATCTTCAGAACGATGTTTCCGTTCTGCCCTTGGTTTGTGATATTTTTGAGCAAGTTAAGAGATTGTCCGAAGAAAAACAGCTAACCGAAAGGTCCAATTAACTGTAAACCGTTCGTTAAATGTCTCGAAACTTTTCTCCCGAAAAGTACAAACTCAAATAAAGACGCAACATCCCACCCTCCGAGACGCTCTTGGAAATCCTTTAGTTAATGCCCAGTTAACCGCTGATAGCTTCAATGCTTTCCTGTCCAAAACGTTTATTGAAGACTCGACCACTCCGCTTCCGACCATCCAGTCATTGACCGGGGCAGTTCTAGAAACTATAAGTTTCGCTCTGTGGGATTTGACTGTTGCGATTCGGCGTTTTCGTCAATCTTATAGTCCAGGACCTGATGGTGTCCCAGTAAGCATTTTAAAAGCCGATGCAAATGCGATTTTCCCATCCCTCTTATGCAAGATATTTAATCTCGCTCTTGAAAGTGAAACTTATCCTACTTTGTTGAAGGAATCACTCATTTTGCCCATTCCTAAGTACGGCAAATCTACGTCGTTTGATGACTTTCGACCAATAAACACCCTCCCCGCAGTTTCGAAGATCTTAGTGACATTGATCAAA